TTCCAGCTTGCTGAAATCAGCCAGAACCATATTTGATGGCTTTGCAACTAAGAATCCAGTCTCCTACAAGGCCTGGGCAATACGTGAACTGAGAGCTACACCTGCTTGGTGATTTAGGTGCTACCGGCAGTTAGGCAGGCTACATAGCAATGGCAGGAGGCTCTGCCCTAACTGGAAAGGGCTCCAGCATTGGGAGTTTCAGGGCTTGGGGCAGGCTGACAGTGAGACGGCCTGGATCTCGGAATAATGCAAGTTCAGAGTGGACTCCATGGTTACTCGTGAGATATGGTATGATCGGTTAGCAATTCACACTTCCATGGAATCCCTTTCACCAGGAGGGAGATTTGAAAAACGTTACTCCTCAGATAAGAACTCTGGGGCCCTAGGAGAGAAGGCAAGCACTGTGTGATGTTGACAATTGACCCTCCTCTGCTCTCATCCACCTTGCTTGCCAAGCTGTCCCCACAGCGCAGTGAGAGAAGGGAACAAGGCGGGCAAAGAGATGCATCTTGTGAACGGGGCCACTGCTTTCGCCTGCATCCCTGACTTTACTCGATGATCGCACACCTCCACCAAGCAGCAGGCTCCTGGCCATTGTCTTTCCCCTTTGTGCAGGAGGAAGCTGAGACTCAGAGAGGTTAAGCTCTGTGTCCGAGGTTGCACTGTGGCTGAGACAGGGATCCAAGCAGTCAGACTCACCCCCTTTCTCCACAGCCACACCATCAGGGTGGGTGGGCAGCGATTAAGTCCACATGGTTTACCTTTGACTTCTTCTTTTCTCTGACAGTGTCACCCATGCCCCCTCCTCCTTCCTGGAGCCCTGTCTTATTCCCTTCATAGGGTCTTTGCATGACTGCCAGGCTGCCAGAGCTGTGCCCATAGATGCGATCCACCTCCCCCTTTTTTCTTTCCCACCAAATCCAACCAGTCCTGTCTCCCATTCATTCTGGGACTTAACTCCAAATAAGACTAATGTCTTCTGGGGCTGGTGCTGTGGTGTAGCGGGTAAAGCTATTGCCTGCAGTACTGGCATCCAGTATGGGTGCAGGTTCGAGTCCCAGCTGCTCCACTTCTGATCTAGCTCTCTGCTACGGCCTGGGAAAGCAGTAGAAGATGGCAAAGTCCTTTGGCCCTTGGACCTCTGTGGGAGACCGGGAAGAAGCTGCTGGCTCCTGGCTTCAGATCGGTGCAGCTCCGACCATTGTGGCCAACTGGGGAGTGAACCAGCAGACGGAAGACCTCTCTCTCTCTCTCTCTCTGCTTCTCCTTCTCTCTCTGTAAATCTTTCAAATAAAATAAATAAGTCTTTAAAAAAAAATAGGCTAATGTTTTCTTTCTCTGAATCTCATTCTCTTTCTGAAACACCCAAGAATACTGCTTGAGGAAGTCCGAGAAGAGATGGGCATTTCCTGGAGAGAGTGCTGGTGGGAATTAGAAAGCCAAGTCATGTCTTGGCCCCACCAGAGCACAGACAGTGCCTCTGTGGTGGTTTTAAAATCTGCCAGGGAAGGCTTTGATGCTACTTTGTTTGTGATTGAGTGCCGGTAACATAGGTTTGTTCAGTTTGTGAACACTCACTGAGCTGTGTTCTATACACTGTGCCCTTATCTGCATACACTGATAAAAAAACTTAAGAATTGGTTTAAAGAAGATGTTTAGAGAAGGGTATTTGAATAAACATCTACAGTGGTGATTCACCTTGAGATACAGTAGTACAAACACTCAGGACTTAAGAAACTGATAAATCAGGCCACAGCTAGGCGCTGTACAAAACTTCTTTCTTGAAACAACAAAGTTTTTCAGGGCCACTGCTACAAGTGAGGCATGCTTGCATCTTAAAGACCTTAATGCTTTTCTCTCGCTCAGCTTTCCCAGGTGCAAATCAGTGAACCACCGGGAATGTAGAGGTTTTTAAACCACGTTGACTGCAAGTGCTTCAGCAGGGTCCGGAATTTGGCAAGGAGGCACAGTATATTGGACAGTTTCAATATCTGGTTCCCTGTCCTGTCCGATAGGCAGGACGTGGGTACTTTCTAACACTCCTTCCAGCTCCAGGATGCCATGGTTTTATGAGGTAGAAAGAACAGACTGTATTAAAAAAAAAAAAAAAAAAAAGCAAAAGCACACAGTTGAAACCAAAATCTAAAAACAAGTCAAATAATGAATATCCCAAGGAAAAAAATTATGCCTGTGTATGAATAATGAATTTCTTTTTGGCGCTAGGTTCTCCCGATCTCTCCACCATATAATTGCCTAATTTTGTTCAGAAAGTTGAACAATTTCAGCCAAGCAAAGGTGCTAGGTCAAATTCTAGGCTAAGACTTTTTGCCCTGTGTTCTACCTTGAGGCCACCTGTGCTAACTGTATCCACGAGGCACTGAAACAGTTGAAATGGCCAAAGCCAATGCAATAATCTGTATTAATTTTTTTATGATTGGAGATAATTTATGGAAGGATGGCTAAGTTACTGACCCAAGGCCTTATAGATAGAAAAAGTGAAAGCAATGAAGAAAACAAAGGAGATTTTCTTTTTGGCCTTAGGATAGGCAGAGACTTAAGCAGGACATAAAAATACTAGTCATAAAAATAAGATTCATAAATTTTAAAATTAAGAATTTATGTTGTGGGCTGGCACTGCAGCAATTGTGAGTTAAGCCTCCACCTGTGGTGCCAGCATCCCATATGGGCCCCGGTTCAAGTCCCAGCTGCTCTACTTCCAATCCAGTTCCCTGCTATTGTGCCTGGAAAAGCAGTAGAAGATGGCCCAAGTGCTTGGTCCCCTGCACCCACACAGGAGACCCAGAAGAAGCTCCTGGCTCCTGGCTTCGGACTGGCCCAGTTCCAGTCATCAAGGCCATTTGGGGAATGAACCAGCGGATGCAAGATCTCTCTCTCTCCCTAACTGCCTCTGCTTCACCCTCTCTGTAACTCTGCCTTTCAAATAAAAATAAATAAAATTTAAAAAAGAATTTATGTTTATCAATGATAACATTAAAATAAGAAGCACGTCATAGGTTGATTGAAGATATTTGTAATACATAATGCCCTGGACAAAGGACCCGTATTGAGAATATACAGAGTTCTTACACATCAATGAGACAGACACCTCCCCCAAAATGGGCAAAAGCCTTGAACAGAGACCTCATTCAACAGGTGCCAGAATGGCAAGACGCATCTAAAACGTTGTTCACCATCATCGATCATCAGAGAAATGCAAATTTACATCAGAATGAAATACACACCCCTCCTCCCTTCTCGTAAACTCGAAAGACTGACAGTACAAATACTGGCAAAGATGTGGAGCTTCGAGAAATCTCACATCACTGGTTAGAACATAAATTGTTACACCACTTTAGAAAACTGTTTGGCAATATATCTAAAGCTTCACATGGCTTACTCCAGGAACCAGGAATTCCAGTCTGGGTGTATAACTGACATAAATGATTTTGCTATGTCGACCAAAAGACGTGTAAGAGTGTTCAGGCCGCTTCATTCCTGAAAAGTCAATATCTGATGCAACTCAAATGACCGAATATTTATAGAATGAAGTAATAAAGAGTAATGAAAAAGAACGAGCCACTGTTAGACACAAGAGTGAACCTCACGGTTTTGTATGTGGATCTGGGTGGCAGGTACGTGGCTGCACACGTGTGTAAAAAAATCATCATTCTGCACACTTCACGATTTGTGCACTTTACTTAATGCTATTCCTCAAAAACGGTGAAAAAATACCAGACCATACATCCTCATTTTGGGACCAACAATAGGGCCACTGTGGCTTTTCTTACAAGCACCTCAACCTGCGGTCCTATCCCATTACAGCTCCTGGGGACTCCCAGGAAGACACTGATCTGAGAACTCAGCCTGCTGTCAGCGGCTGAGAACCATACGCATTTCAGGCAGGGACGGACGTGGGGGGAGGTGAGGGCAAGGAGACACTGCAACTTTTCCTCCGCAGCTACTAGAGGATGAAAACCAGCTCGACGACTGTTTGTTGATGAATAACGGCTACCATTAGATATAAGCAGCATTCGCCACGGGGTCACCTTATACCAGACGCTGCACTGATCAACTTTTCCAAACCCAGGGAGCTCCGACTCAGCACGTGTCCGACCCTTCGAAGCCGTCCCAGGCTGGGTCCCAGCCTGCAGCCAGGAAGTGGAGGCTTGTGGAGAGTCCTTTAGGTTGCTCACCCAGGGCCTTAACGCTGGTGGTGAACGGAGATGCCAACACCAGCGAGTCTGAATGCTGGCCCTGGGCTGGACGCCGCCCCCTGCGGGTGAATGGACGGCGTCCAGGCCCCGCCCGCACGTTATGTAACACACACGGCTGAGCCCCGAGGCGTTCCGGGTGCGGGGCTGGCCGCGGCTTCCCCAGGCCCTCAAGCCCAGTAACTGCCCACAGGTGGGCCCTGCAGCCTGCTCACCCACCGCGCCCCCGTGACCACGCCTCCGCCCCCACCCCAGCCCCAGCCCCAGCCAAGCGGGGCTTGCGCAATCCCAAAGGTTCCCAGGGCCCTCAAGCCACACTTCTTCCAACTTCACGCACAGCGCCGGATGCAGGCATGGGCACCTCATGGTCCGCTGCTGGAGGAAGGGGGACCAGTGCGAAAAGCCCCGGAGAAGCGTAAGAGAGGCAGGCTGCAAGGGACCGGACTGGAGGCGGGAGAAACTTGTTGGGGGGTGGGGGGTCGAGTTACCCTGCGAGGGGAAGGGCAGAAAGGAGAGAGCCGTCCCGGCAAACGCCGAAGTCAGGGGTGCAGACACAGCCCCTCTCTATTGCGCCTGCGCAAGGCTGCCGCCGCCGCGCCCCGCCCCTCCCCGCCGCAGAAGATTTACTCGTCTCTCGGCAACCATTCACCCGAGCGGCCAATCAGAGGGCAGCGCCGGCCCCGCCCCCGCCGTCAGCGCGCCGGCCGACTCCTCCCGAGGGCCTGCGCCGGCCCCGCCCCGCCCCTGGCTCCCCCAGGAGGGCAGGCTTAGAGGCGGGGGCCCGGCGGCCGCGGCGGCGGGCGGGGGCGTGGCCAGGCCGTATAAGAACGGAGGGGGCGGCGGCTGGACGGCTCACTCGGTGCCGTTGCCTGGGGGCTGCAGTGACCGCGCCGCTCCTGCTGGGGGCTGCCCACGCCAAGGACCTGCCTCTGTCGCCGCCTCTTCCACCGCCCAGGTGAGTCCCCGACCCCCCTCCTCCAAAGGTGCGCGGGTGCCGCGGCGGCCGGGGCGAACCGCACGCTCGGCCCTCGGGGGTCCGCCCCTAGCGAGCGGTGCGCCCGTCCTGGTCGAGCCAGGTGCGGGGAGCGGGGACCGAAGTGGAGGCGCGGACAGGTGCCCCAGTCCTGGGCTGCCTTCGCCTCCTGCTCCCTCCACGATTCGGCCGCCCGCCCGGAGAGAGAAAGAAGGCTACAACTTTCCGGAGACTGCGGCCGGGGCTTGGCAAAGTGGAGCGAGTTCCTGCTCGGCGCGTCCCGCGGGGCAGGCGCAGGCAGGGAGGCCGGGAGTGCGCCGAGAGCGCCTCCGGGCCCGCTCCGGGCCCGCTCGGAGGCCCCACCGCACTGGCCTTGCTGGCGGTCTCGGGCTCGCCCCTACGCTCCCGCGGGCTCTGGCGGGCCGAGCGCGAATTCGAACGCGGCGGTTCCGCCGGGCGCACTTGGAGACGGAGCGGTCCGAGGCTTGCAAGTTGCGGGCAGGGGCGGGGCGCTGCCTGGGCGCAGAGCCAGGGTCTGGGCTGTACGGAGAGGGGCGGGACAGCCTTGACTGTCGGTGGACTCGCTGTCCGCCGTGGACACACCGAGGGCAGCCCAGGAGCCGAGCGAGGGGCTCGTGCGCGCGTGTCTCTCGGAAAGCGTCTGCGGGACCCGATTCTTACCCCTTTGGGAAACCAAACTTGCTTACCGCGTGGGCGGGAAGCCCCGACGGGTCTTGCGGACTTGGATAGCGGCGCAGCGGCTGGCCTCCAGGCGCGTGGGCCCCGCGTGGTGTCCCGGTCCCGGGCTCCTGGCGCTGAGATCTCGGGACGCGAAGGAGAGCGACGAACCTGCGGAGTCCAGGTGTCCGCCTTGAGGCCGCGAGCGCCAGCGAGGAGACCCGAGCGCGCCTCCTCGGAGTGAGCGAGGCTTCCTGGAGAAACGCGCCGGTCGTCCGTGGCGCCGGCTGTTGGGGCTGAGCCGGACCGAGAGGGACGGCTCCCCGTGTGCCCAGAGAGAGAAGCTTCTGCAGGCTCCGACCAGCTCTTTAAGTGCGGATCTGCTTTCAAAAAAAAAAAAAAAAAAAAAAGGCTTGTAGCTTGTATGACAAGAGTACGAGGAAGTGCTGGAAGCGCACTTGCAGCCCATTTCCATAAAGACTATGTGTGTAAGCATTTGTATTGTAACCACTTGGCATTCAGGATGGTGGGTAGGGGTTGGAGTCCTGAAGCACCCCAGGACGGAAAGCTCAGATTATTAAATGCTGGCTGTCCTCCTGGGAGGATGAGGGTGGCCATTGTTGGCTGCACCGACCTTTCAACGTGAGTAACTTGGCAAGGAAGCAAGCCAGGCAGGCAGGCAGCCAGGCACCGTGAGCTGGTGGAGGAGCTTACCAAGAACTGCCCCGTGTCTTCCAGCCCGACTTGGGACTTGGACCCCGCCCCGTAGACCCTGCAGTTGTGGGGGGGCAGGGTGGGGACTAAAATGCTGACTTTTCTGTTGCTGGCAGGGAGGCAGGCAGTCTGGGCTGGGGCAGTGGTGGTTCTGTCCTTTGACATTCTTGCTTTGCAAATGAAAAAAAAGCAAAACATAATCTCTGGGGTGAAGCTTCGTGTACTTCAGGTCCCTGAAACCTTGTCTGTTGAAGTATACACCTGCTCCTGTCTTAGCAGTTTTTGGAGAGAAGATTTTGGTATATTGTGTGTAATTATTCAGGGAGCTGCAGGAGGTGTCCCCAGAAGACCACAGTTAAAAAAAAAAAAGTCTATCAGGAGGCATCTAAGTTACCAAAGGAAGGTCCCTAATTTCATAAGTCATTTGGTGTGTGCACACAGAACTAACAGCCATGCTCTTCCTAACGAGGAGTTTGTTCCACAATAGTAGCCTTGTATCCAGAGATTAAATTCATGCACCTCTGAAGGAAAGGGCCTGGCTGGGTTTTTGTTTGTTTACTTGTTTTGTGTGTGTGTTACAGAATGAATGTTATTGATTGAGCACCAGCTCTCCCTGCTTAGTTTCTCCAGCTGTCCTGCTACCACAGGAGTCACCTTATCCTGAGTCCCTGCCTCCCCCGCCCAGCCCTATCTCCCAACAGTGCACATATTTAGCCATCCTGCCCTGTGTTCAAGGTCAGGGCAGACCATGTACATCCTGCACAACCCATCAGAACAGAGAATTCCTCATGCTTCTGAAAGCCAAGGAACAGCCTGGCAACAAAGATAATTTAAAAGTGCACCATCGTGCCCTTATTCTTACTATTCACTGGACACACTTGAGACACAATGAGAAAACTATTTTAATTTCTTTTCTTCCTGCTTCAGTAGGTAGTACCGGGGTCCTCCCTTTTCATCTTGGATGCGTTGTATTCACGGAGTCAGCCGGAGAAGGAGGACGACCCAGGAGTTCTGAATGGATGTGCTGAACCTTGTTCATCACTGCGGGAGGATGAGGCAGCCGAGGCCTCGTTCCCCGAGTTAAATTAAACTTGTGTTGTTGTGTTTGGGTTTCGTGGTGTTGCACCTGACTTGCAGTTGTATCGCTCGTGTGTGTGTGTGTGTGTGAGAGAGAGAGAGAGTGTTAGTTTTGTGGTTAACAAGGAGCCATACAGAGTCTAAAGTGTCACTTCGGAAAAACCGTGAGTGTGGCTAGATAAAGTCTGTTGCTTTGTTATGTTGTCACTGAAGTCAGCAGGGCAGCACAGAATAATGTCTTCTGCGGTCTTGGTGCTTTGGCTGTGGCACACTGAATTGTCATCAGTCGTATTACGATGAAGCAGGGCACCTTTGTAATTCAGAGAAATGTTCCCATCTGTAAAGCCACTTGGGCACATCAACAGTGCTGATAATCTTATGATATTTCCGGGACTGAAGAGTGCTCTAACTTTTCTTTTAACCCTTTCGTTGCCTGCATGATAAATAAGCTTGTGTTTGGAATGTATATGACTTGGAGGGAGAATTGTCATTACATAGCCCAACTCTGTATGGGAGCCTTGTGAATTGTTTCCAATGAATAGATCGTGTGCAGCTGGCCCCGTAGCCTGTTCTAAAACTGTTTGCGGAGCTTGGGGAGCTTCTTGGAACAACAGGAAAGAACCAATATGAAGAAATAACTGCTGCTGTTAAGCAACCCCCCGCGTGGGATGTTTTTCAGCCACAGAGCCTTTGGAGGCTTGGTCACTCGAGTGTGCAGCGTTTCCTCTTGGGTCGCAGCGCTGGAGGCAGTAAGTGGTTAAGTGCTTCCTAGGCAGCGCTTTGTGCCAGGTGCAGTGGAGGCCAAGGCAATGGTATGCGAGGGCCTGCGGAAGCCTCCACGGGCCGCTGTGCGAGAGAGGAGCTGGGTTGACTTCAATCCTGCCCTGGAGCTGCTCGGTTTGCCCTCGTTAGTGAGCTGCAGGTCAGGGGCAGTGGGGAAGTCCATGCTTGCGGAGAACCCCAGCCTGCCCGTGTCGTCGTGTGGATTGTGGGCGCGCCCCTGCCATTCCTTGTCGGAGTAGGAGGCGTGCTTTTGGTGGGCGTCTTCCTGGTGGGCCGAGGCATGGGAGGGAGCCTTTTTGGACCCAAAGCCCCCAGCCTAAAGTGCAGGGCAGTTTCTGGGTCTTGGTTTTCTGGAGGCCTCAGGGGTATAGGTCTGGCGCCCAGGGCCGAGACCTGCTAATTGGCCAACAGCTGAGGCTCCTGAAGCCTCCCCGGGCTGTCCCGCCCCCAGCCGCCCAGGGCTCGCTCAGCCTTTCTGTCTCTCTCCACGTTCACTCAGTTGCTCGTTCTGCTGATGCTTTCTCTCTTTTATATTTGGTTTCCCACTGTCATCACTGACCTGGTTTAGGGGCCTGTGGACAGCTGCCTGCTGAGAGCACTGGCCCAGCACATCTCTCTGCCTCTGGCCAGTTCCACTGTCCCAGGCTCCCAGGACCCTCTGCAGCCACTCAAGGGGGCTGCCCTTCCTCATAACACAGAGCCTCCTTTCTCACTCTTGTCTTGACCTCCCTTGTCCCGTCTTGTGCCTGCCCTCCCTAGCTGCAGAGTACCCACTCCCCCTTCCTCCCCAGACGTGATGGGGGTCAGCTTTGGGCCCTTCGCACAGGCTTCTGAAGCCATGGCTCCTGTCCCCTTGCCTCTCCTCTGCAGTACTACTTCTGTACCGTTGTGCCTGGCACCTGATTTTCTGGTTTTTGTCTTCCATGAGATGAGCACAAAAAGTTCCTTACCTGTGTCTGTGTTGAGCACCTCCTCCATAAGAACTTATTGAGGAGAGAGTGACGCATGAACCCTGCCCTCTCCACTTGCTTAGCCCTTACAAGGATAGGAGAGAAGGCAACACTCCACCTAGCCCGGCTGCCTACCCCTCACCCACACACACTCTGTTGATCCCTGCCCTCTGCTTGCCAGAGTCCAAGATGAGCGTTTAGGTCTCCGGCAGCTGCCTGGTGCTGGGGGTGTTACATTATTCTGTCAATCACATGGAGTCACTTTTTGGAAGTGTGCTGATCCAAGGGTGGAGGTGAAAGGCATTGCCAGCTGAGCACCTGCGCTGTGTCTGGCTGCTTGCCAGGGTTGCTCAGCTAGGAACTAGCTCTGGTTCCGTGTGCTGGGAACCTCACACCACGTAACGGCTGCTTCTCCCCTGCCCAGGCCCTTTGTAGTCTTTATTCCCCCACCTCGCTGCCTTGTCGGCTGGCTGCCTTCAGTTGTGGGGAGACCTGGGTTCTGGTCCTGGCGGAACTCTTGGCTCTTCAAGCTTCGCTGTCTTCATTGTAATAAGGGCAATCGCCTAGACCAATAGAAACAGGAGAAGCACAGTGAACCTTCCAGTAGTTGTGGAATTCATCTTACTGGGTCTGTTTACCATATCAAATACTGTGATTTGAATATAAAAATATAAATGAGCTGTTTTCTATTTTTTCATACCAAGTCTTTGAAATCTAGTGTGTATTTTACACTTATTTGTTTTTTTTTTTTTTAAGATTTATTTATTTATTTGAAAGGCA